CCTGGTCACTCTGAATCACCCGTGTGACCTGGTGTGTGGAGTCCTATCCCTGCTGTCCTTCAGTGGAAATAGTGCTGTGGCAACATGAGCTTCCTGTGGAAGGTTTCAGCTAAATGGAGATGAAAGAGGCTCAGAAACAAACTAAGGAGAGACGGGGTTTTCACTGAAGCAAAATACTTGCTGTTTCCTTCTTTTTATAACTGGAAAAAATAGCTATCAAGTAGAGTACATGTCTTCTATTGTATATAAAGCTCTCTTTACAGAGAGTTGAGTTTTGGGCAGACACCCTGAGAGTTAAATTGTAGAATGTCTTCCCTTTCTCTCCTCCAGATCTTCTCAAACTTTACTATGTACATGCATCATGGAGACACTGTTACAATGAAGATTCTGATTCTGTTGGTCTAGGGTAGGACCTAAGTGCCTGCATATCTATCAAGCCCAGATAATGCCCGTGCTGCGTGCGGTCAGGAACCACACTCTGAGACAAGCATTGTAACAGATGAGAGTATCGGCATGACGACTCCTCAACTCTGTGTTAACTAAGCTGCCCCCAGGAGGTGGGGCAGCTTTCCAAATATTTCCAGAATTAACACGAATAGCTGAAATGAGTTCATTTTTGTTTCAAATATTGCTTGACCTCCTTACCTCCACCAAAAGGAGACTTGGTGCAATTCAATTTTTAAAATAGAAAACCTATTTTTAAACATCTTTTCAAGAGAGGCTTTTTTACACTCCGCATCCAGAGAGTGAGTTAGTGGCCACAATTCCAAGAGTGGTCCGTAGAAGAGGGAGGACCGCCACCCTGTCTCAGAACATGAAGATGTAGGCACAGCTGACAATCGTTAAATCTGCAAAGGAAACTGGGTACACTGGGTGTTCATTACAGTCATGCAAGATGTTTCTGGGAATAGACTGGCTTCTCTTTCTTCTGCCTGGTCAATTAATGACCAGAGTTTTTTGTAACTAATCCTTCAATTGTCTTACTGCCTTTTGAACAAAACAGAAATGCCTAAAAAACAATAGCAGAAACTACTTTTCTAGACTCCTGTGAAGTTTTTAATTTCCCCTAGTGCCAGAGAAATTAAAAATTCCTTAAGTTCTCACTTAGGGTAGCTAAAGCTGAATTACCTAGGCATCACAGAACAGTTGTTCTCAAACTCCAATGCTGTCCTGGGGACCTTGTTAAACAGCAAATTCTGAGTCGATTGGTCTTGACTAAGTCTTTATATATTTTTATTGATTTCAGAGAGGAAGGGAGAGGGAGAGAGAGAGAGAAACATCAATGATGAAAGAGAATCATTAATCGGCTGCCTCCTACATGCCCCACTCTGGGGATCGAGCCTGCAACCCAGGAATGTGCCCTACCGGGAATCGAGCCGTGACCTCCTGGTTCATAGGTCGACACTCAACCATTGAGCCACACCAGCAGGGCTTGAATAAGGCTTGATGGTCTGCATTTCTTACATGCTTCCATGCCAGGGCCATAGTCTCCGGACCACACTGTGAGTGGTCACAGAAGACATTCATTGCTTTCAATCTGAAGGATGGCAGGCTTTACACACACATTATCACATTAGAATTAAAACTTTGACAGGACAAGAGGTATTTAATGGGAATTAATTCATAAATTATGAGTTTAAAACCACTATGATTTATAAAAGTGATTTGCTTTGTTTCCGAAGGAGATATTTAACTTGTTATCAGTAATTGCCTCTAATGATAATCCTAATCACTGTCATTGTTCCTTGTGGGTTATATTCTCTGTTATTTAAGTCTTCTGGGGAGTGAGAGTAGGCAAGCACTTCAGGGGTAAATCTTCTTGTGGAAAAGACAAATCAACTCTCTTCATGATAATCCTACAAAATATGCCTTTGAAATAGTCATTTTTTTGCCATGACCATACGATAGTAATTTTTTTCTGATTCTAGTTTCCAACGATACATAGGTTAGGAAATTATTGTAAAAACAAATGTTACTTTTAGGTTATTTAGGAGCTATCTACTGAATGGACTAGAGAGCTCATACAGACCACCACCCAGAATATTACAGAGAAGAGTGTGAGAAGAAAGGGAGACCCCAATGCTGATAGATGTGAGGGCATTCTAGTAGGAATTAGAGTGCACTGAATTTCATGAGCCATGTTTGGTATTTAAGCAGGAAGCTGGGATTAAGATGTTGTGTGCCTGATGGGATATACGATCCAACAACAGGAAATCTTTTACAATCACCATATGTTATGATTTAAGGGCTAAGCTCAAAGACTTACTTTTTCCTGAGGGTTTCATTTTCCCACACCTCCATCCCATTCCAGTCTTAGGGTTATTTTCTAATAAATCAAAGTTACAGTGGAACCAGATCTTAGGAATACTGACTTCACTCTTTAGGTTTGCTGTCATGTGACAGCGGAAGGTTTTATACCTGACAGAGGTAGACACTTATCAGTCTGCCAGTGAGAAAAAGAAAGTACAGACAGTGATTTTAACTTGGATTTGCCACAAATGATAAATGAGATGCAATGTGAGTAGAAGAGATGCAACTTGGGCTACTGAGACCATCTGCAAAAGGATTTTCAACCAAAATAGTCATCTTTATTGGAGTTTTTGTACGTGTAAATTGTGCTTCACTCAGACATTAAGAGTTTTTCCTTCACTATCTGCTTTTAGCACAACTGTAAAATTCTCAAACAGAAACTGAGAGGCAAACCCAGTGTTCTGGAATGGGAGTTCTTATAGACTGGGCAGATTCTCCTAAAAGAAAAAAAAGGGGGGGTAGAAAACAGAAGATGCCACAAGTATAGCCCCAAACCAAAGGTCAGGAAACAGAATGAATTACTAGTCACTCCTAAGTATTTTCAGATTCTAGCCTTGTACCAGGTTTTATTTCTTTACAGATGGTTTACATGCTACAGAGAATTTCTACTTTGTGCCCAGCCGGCACAGCCATGGGTGAGCCTGAGAGGGGGCGGTGAAGGATTTAGAAAAGACAGACAAGAGAATAAAGCTGGGCGCTGGGTGGGACGCTGCCTTCTCTGATGGAGAGACAGTGCCACAACCCACAAGCGGAGTCTTTATTTTATAGCCGAATTCCATGAGGCAAAGTAAGGTCCTGGTCAAGATGTTTACAACATTCTCATGGGTTTCGAATCTACTCAATTACATGCACCTGAACTCTATCAAGCCCACATCACAAAGCCACGTGGGACCACAGGTTCGGACCATAAGGTCAAGCTTACAACTATAGTCTTTGGCTATAATTGTGCTGGGACTTACACATGTCTTTGCCACGAGAGGATCGTGCCCTCTCATTAGTCCCAGGCTTGAACCTGTCCAAACGCTGTAGCCGCTCTCCACACTACTTAATAACTTGTTTCACTGGATACTCAATGGGGCCTTATCATATCATATCAGAATCACCTAGGGGCCTATTCCAAAGTATGCATCCACCCCAACCTCAAGATTCTGATTTTTCTCTCCGCACCTCATATATGGAAAATCAGTGTTGCTTAAAGCCTCTTTTATAAAAGGAAGTATGTCAAATTTCTTGGTTGTACTAAAAGAAAAACAATTTTAGGACCACTGCTTTAAAGAGTTATAAAAATTCTCTTTTGGGCTCCATGGAAAATATAACAAAGAAATTAACCTGGACCCTGTCCTCAGTGGACTTGGAATGCCCAGAACATAATAATGGCCAGGTTGAGTTGTAAGAGATGGAATGGTAGGAACTGAGAGTCACAAGAGCACACACAGTAAAATATTTTCACCAGCCAGAAAGTATCCGAACAGCCCATTCTTACTACCATTCCTGATGGTTGCTTTTAAAAGTGAAGGTATTTGTATGCATATGCATAACACGTGGACACAGATAATAGGGTGGTAAAGGCTTGGGATGGGGGGCGGAGGTGGATTAGAAGAGGTCAATGGGGAGTAAGGGGGACATATGTAATACTTTCAACAATAAAGATTTTTTTAATGACCAAGAAACAACGTTAAGGTAATTTTATGGATTACAGTGATACATTTTCTAGTTAACTCAATAGTTTAGATTGGTTAATCTAACTTAATACCTGTCTTCACAGGCAGGGGGATCTAAGGGAGCAGAAGGAAAGATATGTACATGATAAGCAGAAAGGATTCAACACATGATGGCTTTGTTGGATGGGAAGGTGCTCTGAGCAAGGACAGACCCTGCCATCTTCAAACAAGAGACATATTTTGACTACTCTGTAACTATTACATAACTCTGCCACACTAAGGGTATTAAATTATTTATAGTTCAAAAATGGTTCTAATATAAGGTAAACCATGAAATAAATTTAATATATCATGACTTTTTTGACATTGTAAGAATATCATTTCCAAAAACTATACCTGATTGCTTTTATAAACAAAAAATTAACTGGTGAATAAGCTTTTAAGTAGAGTCTCCACAAAGGATTACCAACAGAAAAATATAAGTGAGAGGAAGAAAAAAGAAATGAAGAAAGATGAGCATATCTCTGTGCCCAGCCGGCACAGCCATGGGTGAGCCTGAGACGGGGGGCGGTGAAGGACTTAGAAAAGACAGACAAGAGAATAAAGCTGGGCGCTGGGTGGGACGCTACCCTCTCTGATGGAGAGACAGCGCCACAGCCTGCACGCCGAGTCTTCATTTTATAGCCAGATTCCACGAGGCAAAGTAAGGGCGTGGTCAAGATGTTTACAACATTCTCGTGGGTTTCGAATCTACTCAATTACATGCACCTGATCAAGCTTTGTTTACTTGCTGCACCTCCCACTTAGCCACTGGGCTACAGGTTCGGACCATAAGGTCAAGCTTACAACTATAGCCTTTGGCTTTGCCATGAGAGGATCGTGCCCTCTCATTAGTCCCAGACTTGAACCTGTACAAATGCTATAGCCGCTCTCCACATATCTCAAGCCATCTCTCAGAGCATTTCAGCTCCTCTATGTTTGTCTGTCAGAGAACGCTATTTTTTAATTATCCATGAATCAAGCAAAAGTATGAAAGGTGAACTCTCTCCTCAGTTTCCTTATCACACCATCATTGCAACAGGTGATGAGGTCCAAGCCAGCAAATCCTCCCTAGATGCTCAGTTTGAAACCATGACAGATAGCATGTCAGCAGATCTGTATGCACTGCAAGGCAATTGTACTGGAGACTATGGCTGGTATAGTGGTGAGACATTTAGAAATGGCAAACATTGGAGCAATCACATGACCTGTTGTCTTAATCAGTGTCTGAAATGCTGTCTTGAAGATGTGCTTTATAAAATACGTAGTAAAGCCCAGCTGGTGTGGCCCAGTGGTTGAGCGTCAACCTAAGAACCAGGAGATCACAGTTCAATTCAGGTCAGGGCACATGCCTGGGTTTTGGGCTTGATCCCCAGGATGGGGTGTGCAGGAGGCAGCCTATCGATGTTTCTATCTCTCTGTCCTTCTCCATTCCTCTCACTCTAAAATAAATTTTAAAAACATATAAAGAATACACAGTATGAATGATCAAGTTGTGGCTCAGAAGCAGTTTATTTTAAATGAGAGAAAAGGATTAGTGACTTTAATTATTTATCTTCATCTATAATAGACCTCAAATTATCTATTCTGCCATAATTAGTAAAAGTGGTCATAGGTTTTCCAAACTGTTGATCCCTTCCTACACACAGCAACACACATATACCCTTTTAAGTGGCTTCTTTCTCTTTAAAAATACTGTCCTAATGTTTATGGTTCTTCAGGATTACATGTTGAGCTAGGATTATAAATATGTATAAATATGCAGATGCTCTATCAAATCATTTCTTATCCTATTTGTATTTCCGAAGTTGTGTAAGATAACCTTTGTGGCTTTCAAAAACATCTTCTCACATCCCAGGGGGCAAATTACCTCTATTTTCATTTCCTTTAGAGTTAGATCATTTTATAATTAAGAACTTATTGAAGCAGATTCTCCCCACGTGTAAGTTACTCCCTGGGGAGTAATTTATGCAAAGAGCCCCTCTGACTTAATATCATATAAGCCTAACAACTGTACAATGGATACCTGGGATTCTTAGTCAATTTTGTAATAATTGTAAGGAATTTACTGTTCCAGAGGTTATCACTTTAAAAAAATAGTATAAATAACATTTTTATTAATTTGGTATTTTTAATAAAATAAGATTTTTAATAAAGGAATAATGGTGTGGCTTATCATATTTCTTGTCCAAAAGCATTAAAAATACCAGTTAACAATGATGCTGCTGATGAAGACTGACATTATGTAACTCTGCTACTTACAAGGCACTTCTACATACAATATCGCATTTAATCCTCACAAATCAATGAAGTTTGTCAGCTGAGCTTTATAAAACAGAAAACAAGATCAGAGATTTTATCTTTGCCATGGCCTCAATCATTAACAGATTAGGGACTGGAATCAAGGAGAACAGAACAGAGTAGAATGACATAAAATCTCTCATTTTTTCCACATCACTAAATCTTGAAAACAAATACTAGTTCATGTAACCTGAAAGCTAAAAGAAAAGAAGCTAATAAAATAGTTTAATAAGTATTTTAGTCGACTTTGTCTCTTCTGATGTTTTTATCAATATCTCTATGGTTGGTGCTCCTGGGATAATATAGGAATTCAAAATTGTATTCATATTTTATCTTTGTGGGAGGCTGAGAAAGGGTTACTGAATGAAGTATCAGGAAAACTGGCTAATTTCTGGTTGCCATCTCCCAAGTCAACTCAAGGGCATCATTGGTCACCTTGATCCTCAGTTTTCTCATAAAACATAACACTGAATTTTTTGCTTATAGAGATGATTTTGTTGCAGAATTTACCGGGCGACCAGAAAATACACAAGGAGTACTCAGAGATTCAGGAAAAACCCTTTATTTAAAGCAGTGCTGCTGGCTCAGGGTATTCGAAGATCCAAAGCCTGAACAGCTAATACAATGAGATCACCCCTTATATATTCCTAAGTTTCTTTGTTTCCTATCCATTTCCTAACTACCGGGCTTTTTTTGGCGGGCTTTCACAGCCCTTCCTGAGTCAGTTAGAATGGGGAAGTTAGATTGTATCTAAATGCCTAGCCTGGGTGACACCAGCGACTCGCCCCCCCCCCCACCCTCCGGCCAAGCTGCCAAATTCCCGGCCTGTGGCCCCTGCAAACTGGGAACACCCAGGAAAACAGACTATTGTCTAAGGAAGAGGCATTGACTTAATTATAAGCTAACAAGAACGTGCACCAAGACACTGGTCACTGGCACAGATTCAGATTGCGACCCCCCCCAACCCCCCCCCCCCCCGGTTGCCCTCTATATTCCTCCTCAATTTAAACTTACTATGAAATAATTGCCAAAAAAAAGTAAAGTGTTATCATTTTTAAGGTGGAACAATAAGGTAAAGAGGTTTATGTCTTGCTTGCATTTATTTTGTATATTTAAAGGTCAGAAATTGTAGAAAAGCATCCACATGGCACATTTATATACAAAGCATTTTGAAGCATATTTTGCATATTTTAATTTGGGTGTAGGAAAAGAAAATCTTCCTAGTGTGTATATTGTATCTTATGTAAACAACATTTATTGTATTAGTGGACATATAGAGTATGCTCAGTAAATATTTGACTGATTTATCATCAGCATTTTCACAAGTAAACATTCAGCCACATAATGTATAATAAAGTCACCACCATCCCCTCCAGTTTTGCTTTATTTACCTATTTTAAGAAATATTGAAATCAGGCAATGTGATAGCTCTTCTTAACTTAATGTTTGAAGTGCAAAATAAGAAAACCAAAGCCTCAGGTCCCAGGGATTTTTGACTCGCATTATTTCAAGGTCAAGTTTATAAAGGAGAAAATGATGAAGGCAAGAGTTTACAAAACGTCTGGTTTCTGGTTATATTTTTTAGTTTGAGAAAAAGAAAGCAACTAAGATGGCCCCCCTTTCAATCAGAAGGGGCTTAGGGAGGCCATTCCAATAATAGTAGATGACCCCACACCACACCCCTACTACCACCCTGGTGTCTTCAAGCACCAAGATCGTGGCAGGGAGGGGTGGAGAAGAAGGTAGGAGGGTGAAAGTAAGAAGACAACTCTGTGAGCTCAAAATGTCTGTTTTCCCTTTTCAGCACAAATTGAAGTGATACCATGCAAAATTTGTGGCGATAAGTCTCCGGGATCCACTACGGAGTCATCACGTGTGAAGGCTGCAAGGTATGGGGCCCTAACACAGCACTGCCCACAGCATCCATGTTTTCCTCAGGCATCTGTGTACCTCAGGATGCATGTGGTGACACCGTTTTAAAGAAGGCTGCTATAGCATTCGTGTGCCTGCTGCTGACATTCGGGAATTCTTGTTTGATGGGTGGGTGGGTGGGTTTTCCATGCCTTGGCCTTTCACCTTTTTGCTGTTGTCTAACTGGTCAGCAGATGTTTAAAAACAGATTGTTATGTAAAAGCTTGAATTATTCACATTCACAGAGATATAAATGCTGATTCTTCCTTTTTTATCAGCATTATCTCCAGTAAACTCCAGGGCATTTATTACTATATGAAGAAACTAAAGGTTAAAATAAAAATTATAAACTAATGGGCCAACATTTATTTATCTGCTTGAGTAAGAGGTCAAAGGAAGAGTTGCAATACGCATATGGCCATCCTTTATTCTCACATTCCAGAAAATGTTAAAAAAACAAAACAAAACCTGGAAGCATGAAATGTTAGACGTAAACCAGATAGTCTCTAAATTAATTTAAAAGCGTCTGCCCAACCTCCTCATTTTTCAATGAAGTCCTGAGGTATAAACAAGATTATGTCATTTGACCAATGTCACTGATCTGGTTATCGAGAGAACATGGCCAACAACATGGGTGTTTTCATTCTTGGTTCAATGTTCCCCTCCAGGACAGATTCACCATTGCTTCCAAAACAAATGAATGTGTATGGACAAGTTGCTTTTAAAATACAAAGCTGAGAGAGAGAGAGAGAGAGAGAGAGAGAGAGAAAGTTGGTGGGTATAGTAGTTAACATAGACCTAATCTGAAATAAGAGAAATTTGAAACTTAACAGTAAGTTTGTTGACTTAATCTTTAGAAGGAAAGAAAGAGTGAGAGACTACATATCAAGGGGGAAATAAAAGCAGTTCTACAACTAATTTTAAAGGGCAACGTGGAACCAGAACAAATAAAATGCAGCTGTAGTCTGGTAGGGAAAAGAGATATGCTGGCAAAGTTACTGATAAAAGCAATTATATTTTTGATAAAAAATGCAAGAGAGTAAATCATTAATTTAAGGTTGGTTCTTAGAACCAACCTTGCTCTTGAGAGACTTTCAAATATAAATAAAACAAAACGTACTGTATCTGTCAAGTAGTAGTGTGAAAAAATGGCAATGTCTTATCATAGCCTCAAAAAAAACAAACAACAAAAAACACACACCATGATTCCTGGAATTAAAACTGGAGGGAAGGAAAAAAAGAAATATATGAAAATAAAATTGGGGAGGGATGCAGAGAGGGAAAAATAACATTGACATAAGAACCTATTAACATGCTGACCTGCTTTCAAAGTGATTTGAACATATTTGAACATCATGAGATGTGCTTTTCATTCTTCTGCAGACCCACAATTAAGAACTGCATATTAGCCTGGCTGGCGTGGCTCAGTGGTTGAGCGTTGACCTATGAATGAGGAGGTCACCGTTCGATTCCCAGTCAGGGCACATGCCTAGGTTGCAGGCTCAATCCCTAGTAGGGGGCATGCAGGAGGCAGCCGATTGGTGATTCTGTCTTATCATTGATGTTGCTATTCTCTGTCCCTCTCCCTTCCTCTCTGAAATCAATAAAAATATTTTTTTTAAAAAAAAGAACTGCATGTTATCCACTTTCATGCAATTTTTTCAACTCATCATAAAGAACAATAAGGCAAAAGTACAAATCAGCAATTTTTTACCTTCTCAGAATGTTATTACTACTGTTGGGCAGGTAGATAGTTTTCTTCATAAATGCTAATAATTTTGGAATCAGAACACTCTCCAGTGAAAGCTGGTCTACTTTACATAGTACACACACACACACACACACACACACACGCATACACACACACACACACGCATACACACACACGTGCACACACACACGCATACACACACGCATACACACACGCATACACACACACGCATACACACACGCATACACACACACGCATACACACACACGCATACACACACACATACACACACACATGCTTTTTAGACTAGTTTCAAAGCAGAGATGTATTGTGTTTCATTGCATAAGCTCTATTGGAAAATATCTGATATCAAAATATGAGGATATGTTCATGTTAGGAAGTAAAACATTTGAAACAGTAATTCCCAAAAGATTTAACTACTGAACAAATATATTCCAACAGGTCAATAGCCGGGGACTATTTGTTTAGGCTCCTGTCATTTCTTCTGTTTAAAGGAGGAATCCATAATCAAAGAAATTAAGTCGCTATTCTGAAGCACACACTGAGGTTTTAGTCAAAATGACATTGCACACCACACTGGGTTTTTTTAATTCCATGCAAAAACTCACACTTGTAAATATGCTACATTTTTCTCCAAACAGAAAACTCAAGAAATTCTGTTTAGAACAAGATGTCAGTGTCAGCACATCTAGTAGCAACCTCTGAGTTTTCATTATACTGTTTTCCAGTCAACATAAACAACCCATTTTAAATAACATCAAGTCAGCTTGTGCACTTATTCGAATTTCTATTCAATAAAATTTGAAGCAGAATTTCTGTTTCATGCCAAAAGAAAACCTCATTTACAATAATGAGCAACAGATACATAAGTAATGCCTCACAATTAATGTCAAACTGGCCTTAAATTAGGCTTGTAGCTATAACTTCAGAAGGGTCTTTTCTGCCCATTCATTTGTTAAGTGGCACTAGAGAGTATCCAAAAATTTAAAACCGCCCAATTCTTCCCTAAATCGTAAATTCCAAGGTACCTTTAGTCAGTTCCGATGGGCTGAGGTTATGCTTTCTGACAGCTTTCGTGGTATATGAAATACATCATTTCAATCCCTGGGGGCTTGTTGGTTATGATCTCCATTTTAAGGGGCATGAATTCATTAGAACTGGACAATCAGATACCGCTCTGCCACCATTGGTCCATTAAATAAATAATACACATGTATTTGTGGGGATGAAACTAGTCTTTGTTGTTGAAAGGCTTGGGGGTTACACCACAAAACCAGCTGGCCTGCTCTCTCTATGAAGATACTGGGCCACGCATCCATTTCTGAGGTTTTTCACAAGGCCCGCCAACCTCTCCTTACAGTGCCATGCCAGGCCATATGGGAGCCTGAAACAAAGGGCAGTCACTAATCTTGATCCTGTCTTTATTCAAACAGTTGGAAGTTTTTTGTGTTAGCGTTGATTTTTAACATATTGTGTTAATATATTAGTTATCTTGTTTACCAAGTCTTTGGGTGATCCTTACATTTTGGGACCAAGGGAATTGCCTCATGAGCCTCACCATAGGCTCAGCCCCGCCCCATCTCCTGTTGACAGTGGAGGAAACACAGACCCTTTTGACAGAAGTCAGGGGACCTATTCCAGGCCCCTCAACAAGATGGGTATTGGGTTTACCACCTGGAACTCTCTAGCTTTCCTCTTGCAAGAGATATTACTGTGGGTTATCTTTTTCTAGAATTTCTCCTGGTAAATCTGTAGACTACCACTTTGTTGCACTTTGCTCTTTGGCTATATTGCAATTCAAGAGTAAAGAGTGATTAGGGAAACTGATTAAATAGGTGAATGATACTTTCGTATTTCTGGAGAAAATGTTTATTTCCTGGTAGAGTGTTCTATAAGATAACTAAGGTGAGTAGTATCCAAAAAGTAAAGAATTAATAAACTCAGGTTTATTCAGGAGGGCAATGGATGGTCCATGGCAGTTCATTGTGTACCAGAAGGAACCAAACTCATTTACATAAAAACTTCCTACATCAGTATAGCCTGAGGCCAAGCAGAGACCATTAATTCAGCTTTTACTTATTGCTTATGTTTTATTGAACAGTTAATATACCATGGTTTCTTATTCAAAGATGTGATTGATTAAAAGTATATCCCTGGTTCAAAAAACAACCTTCCACATACATTCTGGCCAAATTCAAAAATTTTCAAACGGCAAAAATGCATCTTAGAAACTAGGAAGATAGTAGCATATACCGAGCCCAAACTCCTCAATACTGCTATTTCGACCAATACCCCAGTCCCTCACCCCCACAGCACTTGGCATAAGCCTGTTATCATCCCCATCAAGTTTTGTTATATTTGCCTTAGCAGTGACACTTCCCTCTGCCACTCCTTTCCCACTGTTCTTTGGAGCAGGAGCTCTGTTGTGTTTTTCTTTGCATAAAGCAGCATAGCTCACAAATGTCTTTAGTAAACATTGATTGAATGAAGGAATGAATGCTACTTTCATATCTCTATAGATAGCACATATTTTCCCTGGTAGAAACATCCTTAAGCATCCAAAGAATTTTAAAAATTAAACACAGTTATGTTCACTGGAGAAAATGTAGCAAATATATATGTTAATAGTCTTTGTTCCCATTCTTATGTCTCTATCTCCCTCCCATTCTTTTTCCCCCTCTAGGGATTCTTTAGGAGGAGCCAGCAGAACAATGCCTCTTACTCCTGCCCAAGGCAGAGAAACTGTTTAATTGACAGAACCAACAGAAACCGTTGCCAACACTGCCGACTGCAGAAGTGTCTTGCCCTAGGAATGTCAAGAGATGGTAAGGCACTGCCTTCCGATTTCTTACATAAAGGCTTTCAAATGGAGGCTTTCCTGGAGTCTATTTAAGCCACTGCAAGAATTCTAGACAAAGGGAATTGGAAATAAGAAGGAAAAAAGCATGTGCTGGTAGTGCATTAAAAGGAAAAGTAAGAACATATAAAAATATAGTATTGCCTATGAAATAGGAAGAAAGGAAAGTCTTTACTGCAGCTTTTGGAGCAACCTGTCCTAAGTTAGGTGAAGGCCACATAGTCCTAGATTGAAAGGTGACCACCTGTCTAGGTTTGCCTGTAAATGAGGCATTGGTTTCCTGGAACATGAGATTTTCAGAGCTAAAACTGGGAAGTCCTAGGAAAATAGAACCATTTGGTTGCTGAGTAAGTCTTACTGGTACACAGGTTACTTAATATGTAGAGATGCTAAGGAACAGAACATGTTTCTGTAGGAAGCCTACAAGCTCCATTGGCCCATCACAGCTCCTCAGATAAGGATGTAGACTATTCTGAGTCGTGATGAAGATTCCAAATGCCATAGCAGAAGTCCAGGTCTTAGAAGGATTGTGTAGGTTGTGTCCTTCTCAGAATATGACTCAAGTGTGCACTCCAACTTCATGCCCAACCCAACTGGGTGGCTTGACTCAACAGCTGAACTTAGATTAATGAAAGAGGACAAATAAATTCAAACAAAAGAACTTCATCTAGCTTTTCTTCCATTTTTAAGCATTCATCTAAACTAATTATTTTCCCTTGGCATGGACCACAGCACTCCTGTATCAGATTGTGAGCAGTCCTGAGTCTTGGGGCCATTTCTGTCTTGTTCCCACTGTATCCTCAGGGTATGCTTAAAAGCAGCCCCCTAAATGTTTGTTTAATGAACCATGGCATTCTCTTTTACCTAGAGCCTGAGACACAGTGCCCCTGATATTTATTCTCTTTATATGAAGCACTGTAGATTCTGTGCTGCTGGTCACACTGCCTCTAATGAAGTTCAAGGTGGTGTAGACCCAACCCCCTCAAAAGAAAAAAAAATAAATACTACTAAATTATTTTTTAATGGATAATTGGCATGTACTGTACCTTGGTATAAAGGGATTTTATGAATTATTACATTAAATGTGGGCCTTTTGTCATTTGGATAAATTCAACTCCACATAGGACTTGATATCTAAGCATACAAACTGCTTACCTCTTAGCTTGCATTCTCCAAACAGTTATATCTTGAGGGTGTTTTTTTTATGTTTTCTCTAATTTTCAACCCACCTAAACTTGTCTTACACAAAAGTACACGTATGAGATAAATTTGATCAAAAAATAAAAAGAAAAAGAATCCGACCTTGAGCCCTTTAGTTTACAGGTAAGCTTCTAAAGATGCAGAAATGTAGGTTTCCAAAACTTTTCTATTTATTACCTGATTTTTTATTTGTTTTTCTAGACTTGTTAACCACATAGATATACTCCCAGGGTAAACTTACAGCACTGTGTACTTCTACATACTAAAGTGAAGAAAAATGGAGGATTGGGGTTAAGTGGTTTTCAAGATTTATTTAGTCAAATTTTAAGGTGAAAGTATGCATGTATATGTGTGTGTGAATTAATAGCATGTATATGCCCACTGCATCTTCCCCACCATTTTATTTCTTTTTAACTGGACCCTTAAAATATGATAGTTGCAGAAATCTTCAATGTAAACTGTTTCCAATTGTACTACTATAAACAAACAAAAATAGAAAAACGTTAGCATTGTAGGAAGATATTGAGCTCCAAAGAGAAAACATGACACCCATCTTGCAGTAATCAAGTATGTGTCCTCCTTAATGACATGCCTCTATGAAAAACCAGAAGCTGTCCTACAAGGTAGTAAGTAGATGTCTTTGAAGAAGCAATAACTTTTTTCATTGTTACTCCAGAAACTTTCATTCCATTTAGAATCCCACAATCCAAATAAATATGAAAAGATTTCCGATATTTTGCGTAAAATTGTTCTTTGCTAGTGTGGGATCAACATGAGGGTTAAGAGCTTATCGTGAGCAAATACCATCATCACTGAATATTTATGAAGCACTTGCAATGTATACAGAATTGTGCTCTTTCTTTGAGAGCTAGCAGTTTAACAAGAGACTGCCTCTATACTCAAGTGAATCTCATTAGCAGAATAATTCAAGTTTGAGAGGGGCAAACACTCAAAATATGTGCCATTCTGATTAATGGTTAGTGGTGAGAAGAATGCTAATATTTGAAACTATAAGAGTAATACAGCCTTTGTTGAAATAGGCCTATGGATACAACAAATGTATTGACAAAGAGTGACATGGAATTATTTATATGTTAGGAAAGTTCAGTGGATTTACTTTTGCTATGTACTGTAATTTTCCCCAAATATGTCACTACATTTATTATAGGAAGGAGCATAAAACTGAAATACTGGCTCATCAGAATTTCTGAAATAAATGGAAAATTCATTCTAGAATAGTATTACAGCAATTGTCAGTAAAGTCCACAATTTAGGATGAAGCCTGATAATTCCAAAAGGTAGTGGGGCTTTCAGTTGCCTCTCTGAAGATATTTCAGCTTGCTCAGTGACCTGATAAGTTAATTTCCTGGAAAGGGCATAATTATTCACCATTGAGTTTTCAGATGTTCACCAGGGCACAGGTCTTGACTGCATACTTATTTGACACTATTAGCTTTGATTTTGAGATCAAAAGCAGAATTCTGAACCTAAAATTGTTAAATATGGGGTCTTGACTGAGCTCATTCATTCATCTTCTATCAGCTACAGGTTAGTCTGTGCCTCTATTGATTATAGATGACTTTGTCTGGGATAACTGAGGTGACTCGACTCCACCTCACATATCTTATCCTCCATCAAGCTAGGTGAGGCCTGTCCTTTTCATGGTGACATACTCAGTCACATAAGCATTTTGGAAGCCTCTATTTGTGTCACATATGTCAATATCCCATTGGCCCAGAGCAGGCCACATGACCCTGAGTAAGAATGCCTACACAGAAAAAAGGGCCCTGAAATTTACACGGGGAAGAAGTGGAAGTAGGTAAGAAAAATCAGGGTCATTAATAAAATCAATCAACCACAATGTATAATTCACCTAAATACAGTGTGTAGAAATCTAAAACAAGGATCGAATGAAAAGGAGTTTAAAAAGAGACACGCATTTCTCTCTTCATGTTAGAAGAGCTTCTCATTATCCATTTTTTTCTCCCTATAAATTTTAAGCGAACAAATGCAAAACTATTCTACTAAAGTAAGTCAGAAAGCAAATATACTCAAACCAGAACAAAAATCTTAATCTATAGCAATAGATACAAATTTGGTATTCACCACCATAGCTCTGTAACAAAGAGCTGTCTGAATCCTGCATGGATGCAACAGAGGGTCAGCAAATAACGAAGCATGTCACACTACTTTCATGGGGGGAAAAGGTTCTTTCTGAATCCAAATGTGTCATGATTTATTTTTTCTTATACAAAATGATTTTTTTCACTAGAGAATTATATGTAGTAAATTATGTATAAGGATATAATATAAAGGTACAGAGAACACTTTCCCTAAAAGTCAGTATAGAATTCTGTCCATGGACAAACTACAAATATCACAACAATTAGTAAGCAAATAAATTTGTCTTTGAGAAACAGTGTCTAATAAAGACAGTGTCTCTACAAACAAAGTTGAATACAATTATCTAAATGATTCAAGACTCTACAGAAATGACAGTTGAGCTGGAAAGAGGAATTTGGTCTGAATTAACCAGATTAATTTTCTTCATTCAGAAAAATTATTGGATAATTGCTACTTTGTTTTCCAACTTAGGCAGCATCAGAAAGCAAAAACATAGGATTAAAGAGGAATAGGAAGAGATTGGGCTGCTCCAAGTCCACCCCTCACATCCACAATCCTGCAGGCAGGAAGGAGGAAAATTACATGCTTGACACCGGAAAGTGTACACAGTTACTCAGAACTTAATCTATAGTCACACTTGGCAGTGACAGAGGCTGGGAAAGGTCTCTGTTCTGACCAGCTGATGCTTAGATAAAATTTGGTAGCTCTATAACCAACAGAAGGAGAAAATGAACTGAAGAAATGTTGGGGATGAGTGGCAGCTCCTTCGCAGCAGGGATCTCTTCTGTAGGCCCTTCATGCAGGGCTGGAGAGTTAGTTCTTAAGCAGGTCCCTGTTTAGTTATTCTCAGGAGTTATTCTCATCAACCCTAATGACCGAATCAGGGGTTGAACCAGTTTCTTGCCTCCACTTTATTCTTTCTACATTCTCTGAGCTCCCAACACCATCAGGTGACGGGAACACTGTCACAAAGGAAAACAGAGACTCAGAGAGGAGCCTCCAAGTTTGTCACAGTTCCCACTTTTAACATGAGTTGAACGACATACAGCTTGATGATTCAGACACGGGAGCCCCTGGACTCAGGATGTTCACAGCCTAAAATGGGAGCTGACAGCTGGTGAGGAAACGTCACTACCTGTGACAGTTCAGGAGATTAAGCTCTATAAGTAATGAAACAATGCATTCAGCCCGCAGGCATGGCTCAGTGGTTGAGTGTTGACCTATGAACCAGGAGGTCACGGTTTGTTTCCCAGTCAGGGCACATGACTGGGTTTCGGGCTTGATCCCCAGTGTGGGGCATGCAGGAGGCAGCTGATCAATGATTCTCTCTCATCATTGATGTTTCTATCTTTCTCTCCCTCTCCCTCCCTCTCTGAAATCAATAAATATATATTTTTTAAAAAGAAACAATGCATTCAGATGAAAGCATCCTCATATCACTCTCTGACCACTTCCAGAGCCTCTTTCCTCAGAATGGCTAAGGCTTTTGGCAGAAGAGATGGGCAATATAAAACTCAGGAGGGAGAGTGTGGAATGAGAGAGAAGGGGTTACTGTTGGATCACTTGCTGGCCACTGAATGCACAAACTTCTTCCAAAGATCCATTTCATTTGACCCCAAAAGCCAACTGAAGGCAAATGATGTGGTTTACTTAAAACTATGTTTATCACCCTGCCCCACATCCTTGTTCTTACCCAACCCACTAGAAAATAGTGAAATAATAAGGTCCTATTCGACAATCTAGTAATCCTAATGCTTAGGAGAGGAAGTTAACAATGAGTTTAGGTTGACATCTTCATAGCAGGTACTATTTGGTAGTTTGTATTATTTGTGATTTTTTTCCCCACAAGTAAAAAAGAACAAGAAAATATGCTTTGTAACTTCACAGCAATAAGAAATACGTAAGTGTTCACGTTTCTTCCTTGCTTAGATTGAATTCTCCCTATGCACATAAACCAGTAAGGACACCCATGAATATAACTTCTATCAAATATGGAGTGTGAATGAATGGGCTCTTGGGCTATGGTGCTAGGAGTCCACGCACTTGATAGTGAGGGGACAACCATCCATGACCCATTGAACTTGAGGTGGTTAGCGAGAATGATAACTGCACGCGCTGTTTTCTGCTTTTCTCTTTGACCCAGCTGTGAAGTTTGGGAGGATGTCCAAGAAGCAGAGGGACAGCCTGTATGCCGAAGTGCAGAAGCACCAGCAGCGGCTGCAGGAGCAGCGGCAGCAGCAGAGCGGGGAGGCGGAAGCCCTCGCCAGGGTGTATGGCAGCAGCATCAGCAACAGCCTCAGCAACCTGAACAATGAGGCCGGCGGCACTTACGCCAATGGACATGTCATTGACCTGCCCAAATCCGAGGGTTATTACAACGTGGATTCCGGCCAGCCGTCCCCTGATCAGTCAGGACTTGACATGACTGGGATCAAACAAATCAAGCAAGAACCCATCTATGACCTCACATCCGTATCCAACTTGTTTACCTATAGCTCTTTCAACAACGGGCAGCTAGCACCAGGGATAACAATGACTGAAATCGGTAAGTGGAAGTCTCCCAGCTCATTTTTGGAAATTCTGCTTTGAAGTTGCCTTGGTCCTATTTCTAGGGTCATTTTCTTAGTTTGTTGAATTACTTGCATTCGTGGCTTCTAGGGAGAAAAGTAATTGACTTTAAAATATTTTCTAATAACTGTCATTGTTTCCCTATCTCATAAAAATTTGTCTCAAGCAAAGGAAGAAAGAAATTCTAAATAGAAAGATGCTATCTATAAAGAACAGGAGCTATCTGTTAAATTTGGGTTCATCACTGAAAGAAAAATGTTATTGGTATAAACAGGAAAATTTCAGCAAGGGGCTATTTCATGTGAAATAACTAAGGGGTACAGACACAGGATGTAATAATTGAATGAACAGGGCTCCAACTCTCCCTCTAAGACAGCGGTTCTCAACCTGTGGGTCGCGACCCCTTTGGCGGTCGAACGACCCTTTCACAGGGGTCGCCTAAGACCATCCTGCATATCAGATATTTACATTACAATTCATAACAGTAGCAACATTACAGTTATGAAGTAGCAACGAAAATAATTTTATAGTTGGGTCACAACATGAGGAACTGTATTTAAAGGGCCAGAAGGTTGAGAACCACTGCTCTAAGATAACAGAAGCAAATGGCACCTCAGTTTCCTTCTTAGTAAAGGCAGAGGGGTAGACCAGGAGACCTCTAAGCCTCTTGCAAACCTAAATTCAAGAATTCTGCATGGGAATAAAATCTGAGTTACTGGCAATGAAAGCGTCTAGTCTGGAGTGTGTCAGAACCTAAGAGCAACAAATTAGCTCTGGTGAGGAGGGCTAGTCACAAGCGTGATTGCATCAGTCACTCAGTCCTCTCTCTCTGCTGTCATGTCCTTTGAGTCCTAAGGAGTGGTCTTCAAGAGTGACCTATCCTAGGATGCTCTCTTCTTACCTGTCACAACTGTGTCTTACCCTGTGAAGCTCAGGAGCCTATGAAATGTTTAATCAGTTGATCTCACTAACTAATTGCCATAAAAATACCAATGTGGGTTTAACACATTCCCCTCCTGGCGTTGCATGCTAACAGTAGCCTAGAAGAGCTAAACAAACAGTGGCTACCAGGCTTTGTGGCAGGACTCCATGTACTGGGGAAAGCCATGTGGAGCTCAGAAACCTCTGAGGCCTCCTCACAGCCCACCCTGACAGATGGCAGAGCAAGCGTGTTTAAGAACCAGGCTGCCTGCGTTCCAACCCTGGCTTATTATTTGAGTTGGAGCAAGTTTCTAAATCCCAGTTTACTCATCTTTCATTATTATTATTATTATTATTATTGCTCTTTAAAAAGAGTAAGTATTAGTTCATAGAGCACATGGTTGTTGTAAGAATTGAGTGAGTTAATACTTGTAAAACAGCAATGTTTGGAACTCAGCAAATGCCTAGTAACTCCTGGCTGATATTGCTGTATCCACTGCTCAGGCGCCTTCTCTGTCTACACTGTGAGTAGGAGCCTAAAGCCTACGAGTGTTTTAAATAAAGTTGATGTGAACACATAATGAAGTACATGCCATATGTTTCTTGGCTACTTCCACCATCTGGTGGAGGGAGGAGCCATGTTACACAGTTATAAAACCCAGAACATTCTTTCTCTCTTTTAACAATTCAGGATGTGACAGTGAGTAAAGAAGTTGTTGACAAAACATCTGTAATGACACACATTGAGAGATGTAGAAAACTGAACATCAGCTATAATACAAAATATTAGTTATTATTGATATCCTTAACCTTGCTTTTTAACTACATCACAGGCACTTCACATCCATTTCATTTTCACAAGCATCTTACAAGTAAAAATATTATTCCCATTTTACAGATGAGGAAACAGAGGTTTAGGGAAGTCTCCTATTTTCCCAGGTTCCTTTAGTTACTACGTGATAGAGCAAGTTTCCACCCCAGGCAGTCTGATTCCAGAGCCTTTTTTCTTATCCATTACTTTGCTACCTGTTGTGGGTTTAATATTCACATACTGCATTGTCAACAAATAGGGACAGTCTTTTTAAGTGAAGTCACTTAATCTTTCCAAGAGAGCATGTTATGGAAAGAAGGAAAGAAGGAAGGAGGGAAGGAGGGAAGGAGGGAAGGAGGGAAGGAAGGAAGGAAGGAAGGAAGGAAGGAAGGAAGGAAGGAAGGAAGGGAGCGAGAAAGGGAAGGAGGAAGGTAGGGAAGGGAGGGAGGGAGGGAGGAGGAGGGTAGGTAGGAAGGAGGGAAGAAGGAAGGAAGGAAGGAAGGAAGGAAGGAAGGAAGGAAGGAAGAAAGAAAGAAAGAAAGGAAGAAAGAAAGAAAGAAAGAGAGGAAGAAAGAAAGAAGTCAGCACCATTTTTCGCTTTTATGCTACTTAATATCTAAGTGTAAGAGTCTGCTATTGTTTTGGAACACATGTCCAAAACCCAATGAAATAAGACTCACAATTCTTGGGCAGCATTCTGCTCCATACCCAAAAAATAAAGTCTTGTAAGAATTCAAAAATCATAGTTTTCTTGTAATCTAGAATCACTAGAATTATGGAAAAAGAAATACAGCCAAAACCATCAGGCCTGGGTAACCGTAGACAAGTCACTTTTCCTCTCTGGCCTTCAGTTTATTATTCTCTGAACTGCTGCCTTTGGACTAGATAATCTCAAAATTCATCCAGATTTTTTACATAGAAAGTGATACCCAAAATGGACTGGCATATATTTTTTAATTATTTCAAGATACCATTAGTGTTTAGAACAGCTCTAGATATTCTTAAACTTTGGAGACTTCTTTCATCAGACTTTTAGGTGCGATTAGATTGTCCTGCTAGTGCTCCCATATTTAGCAGGCTCTTAAACCTAAATATTGACTTGGTTCACATTTATTTAAAACAGCAATGCCATCTAGTGGACACAAACTCCTTCAATGGGTGTTGGCACCTATGACAAGCCACAGTAATTGGACATGCTATTCTTTCCTGCACCATGCAAAAAAACTCCCACTAAAATCTAAGTCCATAACAGTATCGGTGAGAAGGCATCAGAGGTACAGCATTTGTGGTTAAGAATTTTGGTTCTGGAGTCAGATTGCCTGAGTTCAAAGCGCGGTGGGCCTTTTCCCGTAAGCAATTTATCTAACCTCTGGGTCTCAGTTGTAAACCTGGGAAAATAACAGTCCCTACCTATGTCTGTTGATTAAATGAGTTAATATTTGCAAGTTCTTAAGACAATCTGTCATGCATAAGCCTTATTATTATTATTAATATAATTGATATTATAAGTTATCAATTTCATTATTACTCAATAACATTACTAGTTATTACAGGTCTTATAATTACCTTTCATTGAGCACCTGCACTGTGCTGAGCAATGTCCTTTATTTAATTCTCATAACAATCCCATTATGCCTGTTGTATACGTATTTGTATGTCCATTTTACAGATGAAAAACTGAGACTCAGAAGTTACAAAATTTGTCAAAATCAAAGTAAGCACATAAGCCCAGGTCTGAGTAACATCAAAACCCATAACCATCACACTATATGTTTATCCCATCAACAAAGGGAGCCCCTCGAGCTAACCGGCGTTCCCACCGCAAAACCTGTTTGGTGTTTGCAGCCTGCCTGACGACCTTCCAGGTGCAAAGGAGCTCACAGTGTGAACATGCTGACATTTGGACTTGACTTGATTAATGAGCATCTGTATAATCGGGCTAGTGGCAAGCTGTCAGAGAGAGAACCCTGTGCAGACAAAATCAAATTTTAGCCCCATTTCACTAGGTGCATTCAAACTGTATCACACTAAAGAATTTTTTAACATCACTCCTGGCAACTAGAAGTCCTGATGCGCTTCCTCTGGTTTCTGAGAGAGCAATGAAATGTGTACAACCAGGTCATTATTCTGATATTGCGTCATCTTAAAATCAGTCATTTCTTAAAACCAGTTTTTTATTATTATTATTCCACCGAGATTATAGCCTTACAATTTGGAAATTTTTAATTAAAACATAAAACAACTATATAAACAACAGTATGAATATCCCAAAAAATCAGTCATATGAATGTTATCAGAGTCAGGAATATTCCCCCAGAAAAACCAAACTTGTCTTTCTAAAAGTGCAGCAAAGAAACTACACACTTTCTAGGTTAAGGAACCTAATAATAATATTTTATATATGGAGAAAAACGGAGAAAGACCCTTTATGCATCTTAGCCAATTTGAGCCTCACACCAGTCAGTTGGGCAGTGAACCCCATTGTGCAGATGAAGAAATTAAGGTTCAGAAACAGTCAGTGATTTTCCTAGACCAGTGGTCGGCAAACTGCGGCTCGCGAGCCACATGCGGCTCTTTGGCCCTTGAGTGTGGCTCTTCCACAAAATACCGACTTCTGCGCATGGGCCACGAAGTTTCAATCGCACTGTATGTGCGCACCCGCACGTGGTACTTTGTGGAAGAGCCACACTCAAGGGGCCAAAGAGCTGCATGTGGATCTCGAGCTGCAGTTTGCCGACCACTGTTCTAGACCACATAGTAAGTGGTAAAGCCTAAATTCTAACGTGGGGTTATTCTACTATCTTAGACTGCCAGGTATTCCTTCAAAAGCATATTTTTGAAATGTGCCAGGCACTCAAGGCAAGCAGACCATGGTTCCTGACCTCACTGTCTAGGATGCAGACATGAAAATAAATAACTGCAATTCCATATCATATAAGTCCTGGGCCTGATGCAAACCCTCCAGGAGGTGAGGGGGGTTGGGGGCTATTGCTTACTGTGAGCCACATCTCTTATTTAGAATAATTTATGCCCATCACTCAATGAATAGAAAACAAATGTAAGTAAGCAGACAGAAATATATGAAACATTTCAAAAATTATATCCTTGGGTTTCTCAAAATCCCATAGGAGGAAAAGACATGAAATAAGAGAAGGGTCAACGGAAGCTTCAAATTAATATTTAGGCAGCAGTATTAACTGGGTTTGGCTGGAATTTTCCTTCAAGCTGACATGGTAGATGTGTTA